GGTATTAAACCAGCCGAATTCGGCCGAAAACAGCCAACCCGAGGTAAATCGCGAGCATAGCAGAGCCGCCGTGCTGAAATTCAAGAATTGGCCAAAAGGGGTTTATAACACCGATTTTAGGTTTTTTGGGATATTTTTAGGCACTTGAAGTGTATTTTGATCATCAAAGAAAAAATTCAGAGAACCTGAGGACCCTCAGTAGGCGCAGTCGAAAATTTAGCATTTTGGACATCAATTTGAGTAAGAATTCATCACCTTATTCTCTGTTATGGAATTGAAGTCTAATTAATAATAATACGGTATTTTGTATAATTTAAAAAATATCTTTAATTAATTACAGATTACTAATGGAGGCAGAACCAGTATTTATTAACTGTTGGTCCTGTTGATTGATTTTACAGTTTGAATGCATGATAATATCTTATTGATTGATTTTATAGTTTTAATGCATCTATTGCTTGCCTTATGTGATTACAGTTAAATTTAAAAAATTAGAAATTAAAAATAAACGAAAAATTATTTAATTAAGTGAATGGATGAAACATTAGCCTTACTGGATATCTTGGGAGATGGTGGATGGACCGGGTACATAGGAAACCTTACTGTGAACGTTGTCTCATATTGGACGGAGTATCGAGATTTGGTAATTTGGCGTTCATGTTGGACGGGGTATGAGGATGGCCCGTTGATATAAAATGTTAAAGGAAAGAGTTCACACGTAGTTAGAACATCATTATGGACCCCCATGGATATTAGTAGGCTGATAAAAGAGAAAATTATTGTTCCAATCGATTGCATATGAAGTTATGATATGTGTTATGTTATTGACTCTATAGGTTATTTTTGTAAATCTTGCTACGTAAGTAGACGGTAAATAATTTTATTTATGATAAACAAATTTGCTTAATTAAGAGCTCTATTAATTATTTTTATGATTTCTACAAACCTTCATTTTTGTGTCGGTGAGTAGCGTGATATTCTTACTGGGTTAGTGTAGCTCACTCTTTTATCAACTATTTCATATCAAGAGAACTAAAATTCAGAGACCGATCCACAAAAAGTTGCGAGTAGGACGTTCAGTTTGTTTACTTTTAATTTATTTCTTTGGTTATTAGTTGTTCTTTTAAAATGGTTATTCTCGTAAGTTTTATTTGGTAATTTCAGTTATTGTGTAAGAAATGTAAACTCTAACTATTTATTTCGCTTCTGCAATAAATTTATAATTTATTTTCTCTAAAATTTTCGGAATCGTTACATTAACTTCTACCCTTTCCATTTTTTATTCACCCAAAATCGAAAATCTTTTCCTAATGGGATCGATTGAGATGTTAAAGAAGAAGACATATAAAGAAAGATGAGTAGAGAAGGGATATTTTAAGGTTCACTACATTGGATTGCTCAATTTTTTACTTAAAAAAAAAAGATCAAATCTATTCACATTTATTTTTTAAATATTATATTGAATACCACATAACATTTATTTATATAGAGGACAATTAAAAAGTATTGGGTGATGTTAAATTTGAAACGTAATATCATACTTAATACTAATTAAATGGAGAAACTAAATAAAAAAAAAATTAAATTAAAAAATTGATGAGTTAATTTGATTGAATATTAAATAAAAATTTATAATATAAAAGTAAAATCATTATTTTACTATAATGTAAAATATCCAATTCTCAAACTCAATTTCTTTTTTATTTTTTTTTAAAGGAAAAAAAGATAGTTTCATTGTTTGTTTTAACACCCCTATTGTATAGGGTATGGGCCATGGGTTACCTATAGAATGGAATGAGTGGGATAATTTTTCACAAACACACACACACACACACATATATATATATATATATATATACATATAAATGGTTATAAGTACTGTTTTGTTTCCATCCCTAACCGAGCTTTCTTTTAATGGTTTACTTTCATAATCTTGTCTGTCACTGATTGCCACATCTTTCTCTTATTTTTCCAATAATTATTTTTTAGTAGAATGTAATCCATATAACGTTTATGATTTTACTAAAAAATCTTTTTATAGATTATTTTTAACCAAGTTTATAAAAATAAATATAAAATCATAGTAAAATTTTCCCATTGTAGATTCAATTATACATGTATGATTTTATATATATGTATGTATGTATGATGTAAATGTACCCGTGAGCAGAGATGGGTGTGCTCAAATTTTTATGGAAAAACAGAAAGGAAAATAAAAAAGAAAGTGGCGTGTAAGCGAAGGCAATGATTTATAACAAAAATTTGGGATTTATGGGAATAAGAATTTCAACTTGGAAGATAAAATTCTGCAAACAAGATGCTCCCACTTGTGTCTATACATTTATATCCATATGTAGGCCTATTACGTATAATATATATAGAGATACATATTCGGTGTGTGATGTGAAATGCTCTCTCTTTATATTAACAAGAAAAAACCCACACAAAAAAAAAAAAAAAAAAAAAGCTGGAATCCACTGTAGATTGAAAAAAAAGTTAGTGTCATTTTCCCATCTCTGGATCTACACGAACTCCATTTATTTCCAATCTTCTTCTTGCATCTTTTTCGAGTTCATATCATAAATATTGTAAGGATATTCAATCTCCAACAAGGTAAAACCTAAACTCATAGATTCAACTTGAATTACTCTTTTGGTTATTTGATTTTTAAATATACAAAAACATAAAAGCTTCCCCCCCCCCAACACCCTACCCTACTTGGTTCTTGTTTGTATTCTCAACTAAACAATAAATAAATGTAAAGTAGAAATTTAATTAAAAAAACTTGGGTGTGAGCAGAGCAAGAGATAGCCAGAATTAGGGGGGCCTACTGGAATGATACCCACATGGGCTTTTCACATCACATTTTATAATAATTTTAAAATTAGGTAATTGTACAACTCATACAGGGACAATATTGTCATTTTACTACTAACTCCGCGGACAGGCTGTGTGATTAGGTCAAGCATATCATTACATGATAATGATCTTCAACGTTGAACCAAAAAAAAAAAAAACAAAAACAAAATACTATCCAAATATAGGTGTAGGTGTATTACCAAATATATAAATTAACTTTTTTTTAAAAAAATAAAATAAAATGAAAAAAAAGAATTGTTTAATCCACCCCACCTACAGTATCTCTTAGATTTGAATCCTTCA